AACGTGCAGATCTGTCCTCGCAGAGGAGGGAGAGCTTGTACCTGAATAAAACTTGGTCTTAAAGGTGCCACTGGACTGTTTTAGACCGGGGGGGGGGGCTCTGCAGCTTACCTGGCTGCTTCTTGCTCTGACTGAGGGCTGCTGGCAGCAGGGGGCGGAGCTTGTTGCATGTGCCCACCCCCTGGGCTCTTTATTGCCGGAGCTCCGCTCCTGTGCGCTCCTGCAGGAAATGACCCCTGACTTAGTGTGTGCACCAGAACTGACACAAATGCTTTGCTGGCTTTGCCGGCAACACTCTAGCATTTGGGTAAAACTGTATCATTTAACCATAGAGTTTTGCCCAAATATCAGCGCTCCTGCAGGAAATGACCCCTGACTTAGTGTGTGCACCAGAACTGACACAAATGCTTTGCTGGCTTTGCTGGCAACACTCTAGCATTTGGGTAAAACTGTATCATTTAACCATAGAGTTTTGCCCAAATATCAGAGCATCTGTGGGGAGTGACATCAGGGTGTCGGGACATTGCTGATGTCTTCCCCATTTTGGCAATATTTCCCCCCCCCCTCCCCCGCCGCTGCTGCCAGCCACCTGAGTAGTGGGCGAGGCCTGGGAACTTGAGCTAGGGTTGATCAGACCCAGTCCTGGAGAGACAGTGGGATCATTTCCAGCTTTGTGAGAGTCTGGTGAGAAAACACATACGCAAAGACATGATAGCTTGAGGAATTCAGTTGAACATGATTCTGAACAGGGAGTTAGGCAGCATGGCTTAACGTCACAACCACACTGCCACGTTGCATGCTAACTTTGGGCAGGGTTGCCAGCCTCCGGGTGGTGGCTGGAGATCTCCTGGGATTGCAGCTGATCTCCAGGGAACAGAGATCGGTTTGCCTAGAGAAAATGACCAGTCACTTTGGTAGAAGGAGGAGGAGGAGGAGGTTGGATTTATCCCCTGCCCTTCACTACCCAAAGGAGTCTCAGAGCGGCTTACAATCTCCTTTCCCTCCCCCTTCCCACAACAGATACCCTGTGAGGTAGGTGGGGCTGAGAGAGCTCTGAGAGAACAGCTCTGAGAGAACTTGTGACTGACCCAAGGTCACACCAGCAGCTGCATGTGGAGGCATGGGGAATCAAACCCAGTTCTCCCATATTAGAGTCTGCGCTCCTAACCTCTACACCAAACTGTAAGGTAGACTCTATGCCACTATACCCCATTGAAGTCCCTCCCCTCCATAAGCCCCGCCCTTGTCAGGCTCTACCCCCCCCCCCAAAAAAAAATCTGCAGGTTATTTCCCAACCTGGACCTGGCAGGTGACCTGTGGGACATTAGCCATGGAACAAGGGAACTGACTTCTTGACTTGAGCCCAAATGCAGGGCTGGTGCCTTGCCTTCTAACTAGGCGGCGAGAGCAGCTAAAAAGGTCCCTGGAGTTTCACAAGTTGGGGAAACCTTTTGAGAATCTGGGGAGCTGGACTGACCACGCATAGCTTGCTGCCAGTCCTGAAAGAGGAATGAGCAAAAAAACCTGAGTTGTGGCTCTCCTCCGAAGGGTGAGGAACAAGAGGAGGATGGAGAGGATGGAGAGGGAGTGGGGAACCCAAGGGTGCGCTGTGCACTCCGCAGGTTGTTTGAATGAAGCTGCATTGATTAGTAAACGCCCCAGACTGGTGAGCATGCCCTAGAGAAGGAAACAGAGACGTTCCGTGTTGACCTTTCGTTTTGTACATTTAATCTTTAAATTAAACTGCCATTCAAAATATTTGCTAATAGTCCTAATTAATCCTCTCAGTAGCAACTCTCTGGTTTCCCAGGAAACATCCCCGTTTCTCAGCCAGTCATTTTACTACTTCTAAAAATGATCAGAATATAAAATTTCCAAAAAATTTGAAGCCATAGGGAAAAAATAGCTTCCCCCTCAGTAAAAACAAAACATAAAAAACCACAACCAGAAATTGGGGGAAACACTGAAATATATGTAATACTTACCGTGTCTAAATTTATTTTACAGTTTTAACATAAAAAGCAGTATTTATAACTTAGCACATAAAAGTATACTATTTGGCATATTTATGAGTATAAATGCCTTCATTTTCTACAAGCAAAATTGCTAATCTATCCAGTGCTAGAGAGAGAGAGAGAGAGAGAGAGAGAGAGAGAGAGAGAGAGAGAGAGAGATGCAAACTGCTGTGTCTTTTGTGCTATTCAATATCTTCGCTTTTGCCGCCTGAGAGGCAGCACAGAATAAAAAATTAAAACAGGAAAAATATTTTATAGCAAAGAAAAGAATGCGAGTTTGGGCAGAAATAATCTCGCACAGTCATAATGGGACTGGCAGCAGCATATTTGGATCCTGCATTCAACTTCATAAGGCTAAAAAATTGAATTATTCAACAGAGTATTATCATCATACATATTATATCATATTAAATATGGAAAAATTAGTCACATTTAAACAGACATATCTTTGCAATTATGCTACAATATGTCTATAGTTAGTATACACATGAATTATCATTATCTAAGACTGTCTTACATAAAAATCTTCATATTATACATTCGGAGTGAGTTAAATGTTGCCTT